TTAAATTTCGCACATAAATTCCGAGAAATTCAGAGGTGCAAGTCTGGATTCGAACCCACGACCCTATGCTTGAGAGGCAGTAGGTTAAACCACGGCTTCATTTTCATTTCAATTTCTTTAACGAGGTAAAATTTTAAAAGTAGACAACCCAGAATTTATTGGTACTCTGTTGGTAGACTTGTACTTGACGGTTAGTTAAAAGACGTTATGTAAATATGTACTAAAATGTAGGTTAAAGGCGTACCTCTTAAAGTAATTTTTATATTTTATTTAGTAAGTACAATTAATACTACGTAATGTTAAATACAAGTAAAGTAGGTATAATTAAGCAAGAATGCGCATGTCGCCAACAAACTGCACAGCAGTTTGGTGACTTTTACTAAATAAGTTACCAGTTGTAATGTTGAAAATAAATTTTTTTTGAAGTTTAAAAATGTGTGTTGACAATAAAAATAATATACCACTCGAGATTAAATTATCAGACTTGTGTATGTTTAGGCATACTTTGGTTACAGTAAACTAAAGAAACAAAAATTCAAGCCATACATTTGCATGTCGATAATGACTTATCGATAGATTATGGGACAACTCTAAAGAAATCCGCCATTTGTAACTTTCAAATTTTGGTAATATACACGTTGATTCTGTACTTAGGGCAGCTCCTTTCTTTTATTTTTTTCCATCCTCTAAGATTAGCTTAGAGGATGGAAAGGATGGAAAGGATGGAGAGAGGAGAAAAAAAAGACTTTTCATATTCGATTCCAAATCAGTGTCAATCTATGATGGTCTATATCTTAGACTATGGAAGTCTATACCCAGAAGCATAAAGAACTTCTTGGTCTATGCCAATCTTAGAGGAATGCCAATACACATTAGGTCCGCTTCATATTGTCAAAAATTTGTCTGTTACCAAAAACACGAATGTTGATTTTGATCTAAAAATCTTCCGTGAACTACCCACACTTTCAGAAATTTTGCAGGCGACTGGCTGACCGTGAATCGGAAACGGCGTATATGCACACGGCGTATTTTATACGCGCCAACGACGCGCGTACACCTTAAAGGATGGAAAAAAACGCGCGTATGCATCGCGTATGTATTTTGATAAGAGATAGTCTGAAATTTTAGTTATGTTTGTTAATTTCAGTTAATTTTTGAAATATACCACATGAAATTGAGCTCCTTGCTTGCAACGCGCATATTACGCGCGTTTGCGGCGCGTATAAACTACTCCGTGTACAAAGGCTCTTATAGAGTCTAATACAATGTATGAGCGGAGCCTTCCAATTTACTTATCTGAATATTTCTGCTAAAAATTTTCTAACACTATGTGGCCGACTTTATTTAAAAAAAAATAGTGGATAAAATTTACAACTGTATGAAAACTGCTCAATAAAATAACCTAAAATAGTGTTTTTATTTTGTAACAATCTTTACAAACCATTCCAAACAAGAAAATATTTACACAAGTACAAAAAAAAAAACAGTTAAAAGTTAATAACGTTTGTAAATTCTATAAATACTTATAATATATACAACTGGAACTGTTAAATAAATCAAATTATCGAAGATTGTTGTAATCTTTGGCAATTTTTCTCAAAGAGATGGATCTGTGACGACTTTTTCTGTCTATTTCATTACCATGCCTTGTCGATGTTCAGGATTTCGTATGACCAAGTGCGATTGCGCAAAATTTATAGGTAAAATTCTGTTTTATTTTTCATCATAAAGATGCTTCAAATAAACAAAATACCGATTACTAAGTCAACCCTTATACATCCCACTGTTGCGTAAGGGAAAAAAAGAACTGGTAAACCAGTGCGGGTTAGGTACCTGCTAAACATGTCCTTGAACAGGTTTTTTCTCCAACATACAAGTCATCCTAAGATGTTTTCCTTCAAGAAGCAAATAATAACTTAAACATCTCACTTTTGCACGTGCTCCTAAAACGATCACGACTAGGGCCAGGCCAGAATTCGAACTCGTAGCTACTGTACAACAGACAAGCGTTCCTTGCATCATCAATTTTATACGAATAGTTACCAACTTAATTTTAAGACTGTAGTGCATTTAGCAGACTTCCCGTTTCACCAAGAAACTGACCAGCCTGTCAACGTCAAGTCGAACTTGGTGCTAATTGCAGACCGTAACCGCGAACGCACTTTCCGCACCTATCGAGGTAACCCACTGGTCAGCATGGTCGAGATGCTATACGAAAAATGCGCCGGGTACAATTTAAGGTATTAAGGCTTTAAACAATATCAATATTTTTTTATTTTATATACTTAACTGCCTCTGTGGCCGAACGGTTACGATCCACACAGGTGTCTCAGGTTCGATTCCCAGGCCGAGAGAAATATTTGTATGGCCTACATTTATTTCTGTCGTGACTGGGTGTAATTTGTGTTGTCTATATGTGTGTCCATGGCATCCGCGACACAGGGTTTCCCTAGTGCGAGGTTGTGTTGAGTGTGGGCTTTATTATTATTATTACTTATCATAATATGTATATATAACTGATATACCAGGTGGAACGGAATGACCGAAGAAGCCGAAAACTCTGTTTACACGTGTATTTAATTGTGTTGAAGGTTTTTCTCTAAGTGTAATAGTTTTAGAATTAATAACACTAGATGCATTAGCAAAGATTTGCTTTAAAAATCTTTGTTATAAACCCTAACCAACAGCTGTTTGGGTTATAATTATAAACCTTTGTATTTTTAATAGATTGACCTCCATTGTTGATTAGCAAATAATTACCCCATTAGTAGCTTCCTTCGATTAATCTCCACCGAACTCTTCACCAAACGCTCGTACTAACAGCACTTATTAACACAATTTCGTTGCATTAGCTCTATCTACCCTCACAATGCCAAAGTGTTCACAATGCCAAAGTGTTACCAATGTGATAAAAAAAACTAAAAATCCCCGGGTCTTGAATGCAATAAATGCGGTATTGCAGTACATACGAAAACTGAACGTGCTGGGTTTACAGCCAAACAACTTGTTGCACTACACGCCACTGGAAACCTAGGATGGGCTTGCAACGACTGCACTAGTAGCAATTCCTGAGGACGATGAAGAGGAAGAGGATAGTGAAGTGAAACGAATCGTAAGTGTTGATGTTAAGAAAATGGAAGATTTGCATGTGCTATATTATATATTGAGAAGAAGGATAAACTGTTGAAAAGAGAGTTGAGTAAAACTAACAAGTTAGTTCAATATTTAAGCGATTAAAGTAGATGAGTGCCTTGAAACAATGCAGGTATTTAAGCAAAAGGTTAAGGATAAAAAAGATGTTGAGCTAGCAAAAAAATCAGTAAATCTGGAAAATAGAGTCCATACTCAAGAGCAACGTATGAATGAAGTTGATCAAAAACAGTTACGTAACACAATAAAAATCGTGGGTGTTCCATTTCACAAGAAGGAAAATTTCCAATCTATCTCTTAAACATAAATATAATTTCGTAAAGAACCGATCTGAGGCATCTCAAGTCGTAAAAGTTAGGCAAGTTCCGTCTAGCATAGGAAAACCAGATATGTTACAAGCTTAGAATAATAACGCATAGAAAGCTAGCCCGCACACGCTAAGTGAGGCAAATTGTAGGACGCCCTATGGGCTTACACGAGCGAGCGCTCTGTCAGTGCT